ATGATTAGCTAAGCTACATGATAATATGGCTTATTATTTGACATATAGGATCTTATGCTCATTGATGTGTAGCTTCAGCCTTGAGCTATCTGTAGCTGCACACTTTCATCTTCAATTGTCGAAAAGACCTCTCTTCCTCGATGTCTCTCTAGGACATGTCTAAAATTTAGCTTATGGTCTTTTCACCCGATGTGGCTCTTCTTTTGGCCTTTACTGTTTTAGTCACTATTACTGCAGTTCACTCAGTCTTTCATGCTTAGAACTTTGTGGTTGCTTTTCACTCTTCCTTCTCTTTCATCCCTTCTATCCATACAGAGCTCTGTTGTTTCAACCTCTTCAATACTCTCCAATGTCTTTCACGTTTATTTCCCCTTCTCTCTAATCTTATTGCATTTATTCACCTCTTGACCCCGTCCTGACTTTCTGGACTTCAGAATCATTCTTCTACTACACTCCGATCTTGCAGCTTCCCCCAGTGCCTGGGGCCTTCTCACCCAGGACCATCCCACCACCCCTGATGCCTTTGCACCAGGCCTGGAATATACCTACACAAGGCCTGCCACCCTACCTTTCTCGCCTTGGTGAATTCCTCTCAGAGCCTCCATTTTGTAAAAGGGACCCAGTTTGTTCTGCCTCTGTTTTCCTTCTGGCCTGGTTTCTCTCGTTCTGGATTTCAACATCATTCTTCTCTTTTGGATACCTTCATACTCTCCCCAAACCCTTCCAGCTTCCTTAGTGTGTTGTCTTCCCATGGTAGAATTTCAGCTCCTTGAGGTCATAGTAGACATAGGCCATCTTCTTTTTGCTTAAAATTTTAATCTGCAGTGCTTAACATGGTGTTTGGTACAGAGCAAGTGTTCAGTAATGCTTGTTTCCTTCCTCTCTTCCTCCTTTCTGTGCTACAAGTCAGGGCTGGGCCTCATTAGCGCTTGGTCATATTATTGTTCTTGCCTCCACTCTCACTATTTCTGTTTCAGCAAGTGCTTAATATGTATTTTTTAAACTGAATTGAATTCTTATTCTCATTTCAATTATGTTTTTAAATTCTGAATTTAACAAAGACCACAATAACAAAATTTCCTTATCTAGAGTAGATCAGAAAAAGAGGATTATATGTGAAATCACATAAATATAGCTTTTTTTTAGTATATAATACATTCAGTGTTAGTTTCAAAGCTATCCTGCTTATCTTTGTTTCCTTCTGAATTTCCCTTCTGTTTTCTTCTGTGTATTTTTTTTTAAATGCACCAATGATGGACTATTTCCCCTTCAAACAACAAGAACAGAATATGTCATTGTTAATCTCTTAGTTTTAGCACTGGAAAAGGAGGAAGGGAATAAGCATTTACATAGCACCTATTATATGCTAGGCATTGTACTAGAAGGGACCAGTAGAGGTCATTCAGTCTAGTAGGTTTTGAGGCCACAGGTTCCCTACCCTTAACCCCTTCATTTTGTAGATGAGGAAATTGAGCCCCCGAGATCATAAATGACTAGAACCATGCTTTGAGCTTCAAACCTAGGTCCTCCATCCCAATCCTATGCCCTTTTCACTTTAGCACCTCAACTTTTACCTTGATAGTCACACACACACACACACAGACACACACACACACACACACATATATACATATATACATATATATATATATATATAAAATAAGCACTAAAGAAATGTTTGTTTTAATTTTAATTTTATGTCCTCCTTTAGTTAAGAAATTTGAGTGGAGAACACCACCACATATGAACAGTGGAGCTCCATTGACCATGAATGTATTTGTGACACATACCAAGTCACATTCAGCATTGTACAATAATTGAAGAAAGAAAAGATTGCAAGCTTGCTAACTAGAAAGGGAACATTTCTTTTGGTGCATGTAGTGAACTCTTTTTACATGGGCCAATATTGTTTGAATTTGAATATAATACATTTCTGTAGTATTCTAATGTGTAAGAAGTCCTTACACTTCATAAGTCTAGGACAGAATTCATAACTTTGTTTTACAGGTGAGGAAACTGAGACTCAGAAAAATGAAATGGTTTAGCCCAGAATCAAGCAGAAAGCAGGAATGAAAGTCAGGACTTGGAGTGAGATTTTCTGATCCCAAGATGAGGCTTTTCCTATTATACCAGAGAATTGCAAATATACTGAACTTTTTGTTTTCTCTTGTCCTATAAACATTACTTTGATCCACCTAAATACTGTCACCTACAATCACTTCTTTCCTTTCTAACTAGTAGCCAGACTCAGTTTATCGATCTGAGAATTCTAAATTTCATGCTTGAAATTTATAACACTTCTTTTCTTACATGAAAAAGTCGTCAACCCTTCAAGATAAATAGCTCAGGATACATATAGAGTAGCAACAAAGGCTTTTGCTCCTGCAGGCACCTTGCAAAGGGACTATTTTTCTTATATGATATAAATGAAATCTTCAGTCTGCCCACTTTTACACCTACGCATGTACTGAACGTCTCCAAGGAGACAAGGAAACCCTAAGTCCAGTTATGGTGAATCCTCCAGTGAGACAGCAGGCTTGAGTCTCAGGCAACTCTCCCAGGCGTCCCGGCTTCCAGATGTCCCTCTCAGACAGCCTTTTTCTTTAGGCTCTTGCAGGCAGACACTCTCCAACATGTTTCTTTCTTCACAGCCGAGCTAGACTGTCCATTCCATCTGAAGGGCTGGTTGTGGTGAGTGCAGTCGGCAGTAAGCCTTCATGGGACAAGGGTTGGTGGGGGGGGTGGCTGAGTGGGTGAGAGTTCCTTCCCGTAATCTTTTTCCTTGTTCACCATTCTGGTCTTTTTCTCTCTCCCTTTCCTTTCCTATTTTTCCAAAAGGAAGTCTCTACTTGAACCTTATACCAGACCTTAAAATGTTCTTGGCTTTAGCACTCCAATAACAAGGCCTAGCTGAAGATCCTGGCCATAGCTTAGAAGGCTTATTTCTTGTTGGCCCCACATCATCAGGTCCCTCAAGCTGGGCACAATTCCTTCTGACCACTTCATACATGTCTTTTCCCTTTCTCTGGGCTAAGTACATGTGGATCATGAAGCATTCTCACTATTCTAGCTATATCTCTTCTTATAGCCTTTTCACACCTCTGATAGCCTCAAGATGTTGCACACCAAATAATGTACAAATATCTTCAGAATAAGCAGAGTTACACATTTTCTCAAGTGTATAACACCATTCACTAACATAGTGGCAGCATCTATCATTGTAACTTTTTAAAGTCAAATGACTGGCCAGTTCAGACAAGCATCCAAGCATATGTACTGGTCTGCTGGGTCAGTGAATGAGCTGATTGAACCAATTTTTTCCCATTGAATTTACCAAGTCAACTGGTGGTTTGGTTTGGTATTCTATAGGCACAAATCCTTCTCTATTCTTAATGGAGTTACTTTGCACTTTATGCTCCTCTTGGGGTGGGGAGAGGGCATTATGTAGGAAAAGAATAAGTCATGAAATAAATATATAATCTAAAAAGAGGATGGACTGGTCACATGACACATGAGAGGGACAACCACACTCTATGTTCTCCAGTAATTTCCTCATGATGTCAAGAGAAAGCAAAGGAAGAAGGCAGTCAGTTGGCTAGATATCCTGTTGTGAATTTACAGGAGAATATGGAGAATGTGGCATGGATGAGTTATTGTCTGCCTCAACATCTTTGGAGAGAAAATGTGCATCAATGAGATCATAGCCCTGTTGTGAGTTTTTTTCTTCCTCTAGGTATAATTTCTTGACTCTTGGATGATTTGACTCAGAAAATACTATCCTTTCAAGTGAATTGCAGTCAGAATCATTTGTGAACTTCCATTCTCTGTTTCTAATGTCACAACCTTGATTATCATAGAGGTATTTCTGACTCTTCCCATGTGTTCTTCAAAAAAAAAATCACCATTTCTTATTAGGAATCTTTGTTTTAGATATGCTGGGGGACATCCACACGTATCTGGGCAAGCCCTTGATTGACACTTTGGAAGTCTAGACTTGATAGGTGTTTCATGAATATTCCCATTTCTATTCGCTTATTTCAGCATCTCTGTTGAGTAGATTCAGATCTGTCCTATTGCTAACATAGTTAGTTCTTCACTGTGTCCTACCTTTCCAACGTTCAATAGCTTGACTTGCAGCTGAAAGCAGCATAAATACTCAACTTTTGAAATAATCATTTAGCATCATTCCCTTTCCAAAGATGGCAAGGAAAAGAAAATAACTAGCTATACATTCATTGCTTCCCCATTTTCTATAGGCTACCCACATCTTTTCTGCTGTGATACATCTGTTTCTGTCCCCAGACCACAAAGTCATCTCAGTCAGAATGGGCTGGCTCAAAGGAATGTCATTTATTTATATTCCAACTCTAAATGACAATTCAAGGAAGGTGAAACATTTTGATTCACCTAAATAGAAGGATATAATAATAAAGGAAATAGTCTCCAGTCCATGAAACTAGTTAATTATTTTCTTTCTCTCACTTTCTCCTGGCATCTCCTGGCAATATTGCCTGAGTAAGGCAAAAGTAGTAAAGACCTAGGCAGACTGGAAGACCTTCATTGAATTCCTTGCCTCATTCACTTACTGGTTTTGTGATCCTAGATGAGTCATTTGACTTCCCTCATCTGCAAAATGAGATTAATGATAGCACCTACCACTCAGTGTTGTTGTGAGGATCAAAGGAAATACCACGTGGAAGTGCTTTGCAAATCTTAAAGCACTACTAGTTATTATCATTATTATTATTACACAGTAGATTACAGGAAAGATCTGAGTAAATGGATTTTTGTGCCTTTTAAACTCTGACAGGTTGGCCCAAACTCAACGAAATCTGGAAAAGGGATCAAGTCGTTTTAGGAAGAAGTCTTATGTGCTACAACCTATTCCTTGTCATGGCAAAATCGGGATCCACTCTTGAGGCCGGCTTACAGGAATTTGGGGAAATAGCATCCCAGAGTGCTGTGCTAAGCCAAAGTTTTCCTTCCTTCTTTCTTTCCAGGCTCTTCAGGTGGCAAGACAGCTTCTTCTACAACAGCAACAAGTTAGTGGATTAAAGTCCCCCAAGAGGAATGACAAACAGCCAGCCCTTCAGGTAAAAAAAAGAGGGAGAGGCAGGGACCCTGAGCACTCTGTCATAGGCTGGGCATCGAATGTAAGACACTTGATGTTTTCTTATCATTTGTCATCAACTGCAGATGAAAAATGCCAACAGCCATGGTGTGATGATCTTCCAGTTATGGAAGAAATTCTGCGGTCAAATTTCTCTTAGTATTTTTCCCCAAAATCAATGAAGTTATGGCTGTCCTAGCATGTTAAGCTTTCTTCTTGGGACAATACTTTATCATCCATACAATCTAAAAGGACTTCTGGTGCGTGAAGGAAAGGTTCAATAGATGTTTCTGGTTTTAAGCAAGCATTAGGAAGTGGTGGGCATCAAGAAAGAAGAGCTCACTTACTGTTTTGCAGATTTGATCATTATTTTTGTTAACAGTAATGAGGCCAGTGTGTAGTATTGGGTAGAGCTAACCTTGATGCCTGGAGGATCTGGATTTAAGGTTCTTCCTTGGACATGTGCTGGCTGTATGGCTCTGAGCAAGTTACTTAACCTCTCAATGCTCTGGGCAATTCTTTAGCACCACAAAGTTGCAAAGAAGGTACTTACTTTCCTTGTTAGAGAGAGTTTCCTCACCTGGGAATTACATATACACATGAAATCATGGGTCTAGTCACATAATAGTCATAGCACTTGGTCATTTCTAAAGCATCCTAATAACAAACCTATGAGGTGTGGGCAGGGCTAGGGTAATTGTGCTTATTTTACAGAACTAGAAACTGAGACTCTAAGACATTCAATGACATGTTCATGGCCACATGCTTAGTAAGTTTTGGAGCTGACACTTGACCCTGGGTTTTCAGCTTCCAAGGCCAGGGTTTTTCCTCCCACACCCCTCTAGAATCCTTCTGTTCTTGTTAGACAAACAAGGAAAGATCATCATTGCTATATGGATGAGGATCACAGAAGAGGACATAGTGCCTTTACGATACATTACCAATATGGCTTGGCTATAATTAATACCTGTTGTCCATTGCTGGATGCCTTGGATGTTTTTAAAGGTTAATTTTATGAAGCCAAGAATTATTTGCACACAGAAGTAGACCAAATTTTCCCTGTAACTGCAATTCAGGGCCAAAAAAAATATTTAGAGGTAAATAAGAACTTTTACTTGGATTTCTTTAGGGAAAAAAAGTTATTACAACTAGATCCTGATTAGTGAGATTATAAAATTCCCTTAAGTGGTCACATGTATTCAAAATCACACTATTTGAAGTTGTAATTATGTAAAATTCCAACCCAATGGAAATGCACAGTGAGAATTCAAATAATGTGACTGCTTCAGAGGATTCTTTATTTGCACTAATCTGTTAAGAGAAGATAGCTTTTGGAAAGTCATCCCAATGCCCATGATTTGGTAAGCATTAGGTGTTTAAAATATCTATTTCAGCTGATAGCATCTAAGGAAAAAGAAAGATAATAGATAGATGCATAGATGGATAGGTAGATAGATAGATAGATAGATAGATAGATAGATAGATAGATAGATAG